TTAGAGAGCACTTTTAATTAAAAGCACCTGAGTGTCACGTGTGTTAGAATCCCTGCACTGAAAAATGGTGGTTGGGTGCTTTGAACTAAAGCTCATAGAACAAGCTTTAGTTCAATGCACCCCAGCCCCATTTTTTGCCACGGGGATGCTAATACATGTGATGCCAGAGTCTGCTGGAGCACATTTATTTCCATGCTGAAGCAGACTTGATTAATTGAGTCTGCTCCAATTCATTTGATTTCCAGAGCATCAGAGCTGGCTCCCTGCATGTGTATAGGAGCCTGTTGATTCACATTGCCTCAGGAAAAGCCTAGGAAGAGTCCTGTGCAAGTGCTCCAGCAGTAACCTATTGGAAAATATGATTTTGCAGTATTTAAGCAGTGCCTAGTTACCTCCCAATATCAGTTTGATTTCCAACAGAGCTTAGATTCAATTAAGGTGTGCCTAAGTGTTCTACCTGAATCATTCAAAGAGAAGATCTCTACATTTTGCTAGACTTCAGTCCAGTTATATAATGGAAACATCAGAGACTGCACCAAATATGGAAGATAATAACAGTTTTTCTCTCACCTGTAAGGTAGTGAATGATTATGTTAAAAGATCTTCTAATATATGTTGGAACAAGCTGTCATGTGGTTGATGGTGCCTTCAGTGTTTCATCATCATCATTTTCTGTTCTTTGTTCCAGGACTACCCAAAAGCTGATTGAATCCCATCCTAGCTTAGGACACATGCTATAGTAACCCTTATTATAATCAAACATACCATTGCCAGACAACAGAAGGAGAACATCCATTCGCCCATTACTAGATGGAGAAGTCGGTAGATTACATGGGACAAGACAATCTAGTGTCTATCCTGAGAAAACCAAGATGAGATTAGGTAGACTACTCCTCCACTGTAAGACAAACACCATCTGTCTTTCATACATCATTCCCCTTCTCACCTACTTTGAGCTCCTGTAAATGCCTTTTTCTAACACTATTACATTTGTAAGCATGCTCTTCTTCACTATATAGGACTGGCAGCATGTCTGTGTATGACATCTAGAATAACTGAGAAAAAATTCAGATTTGTTTGTACTTCATAGTCAAGTTTTCTACTTAGGTAGGCTTTCCTGAGCTGCCTGTTACACTTTAAACAGTTATATTAACTTTGTCACACGGTGTTTCTTGATGCACTGTTATACCTCTAGCTTCAGCAACAGTCATAATACAGGCCATTTGCAGATGCATAACTGTGAAATCAATACCACTGTAACAATTATAATTTGGGTATGTAAATTATAATAATTTTGACGGTCTGAGGACCCAGGCTGCATGTTTAAATAAATGTTATTCACACAAACATTTATTAGAGTGCTATTTCCTAATCCAAGTATATGAAATATTCCAGTAAAAAACCAAGATAAGTTATGATTTGTTCCAAAAAAAGATTTTTTTTTCCATGAGGTAAATTAATCTGAAAGTAATGAGGCATGTCATGCATTTAATGTTACAAATGTGCACTTTCCTAACACAACTGGTTTATTTTTTTACAGCAATTCTATTCACAGTAAGTGCCTATTTGAATGAGAAATAGATGCATGATCAGTCCATTATTCTATATCTAATGCAAGGAGCACAAGAATGAAGGCATCCTATGGAAATATTGCATTTTCCTTCTCCCTTTCCCTCACCCCCCAAAAAAACAAATTAAAATTATCATAAAGTCAGCTTATAGACTGCCTATATGCTAATCCCAGAAAATGTCAAAGGCCTTGCACACCATGAAGCATAAAGGAACACTATTACAGTTGTTCCAAGCCACCAGTAAATTGATTGTACATTTAAGGAACCAATATCCTCCAGGTCTTGAGCAAGGAAATTTTAAAGAAACATATCTATTAGCAATGGCATTTATAAAAATTCAGGTATCACCACCAGCTGTCATCCTAATGGTTATTCAACTGAGACATGACAATTAATCCAGCAATTGGCAGGAGGAACTTACCTCTTTTAATGGCATTTTAAATAAAACACTTTTCCAAAGATAAAACAGATACTAGGCTTGTATTTTGTAAGATTAATTTATACCACATGTGATGTACCATTCTTGTGGTGTATATATCCTGTAGCTACTTTGCTATACAGCCTTTTGAAACTCACATTATAAAGTTTGCAATTTAAAATATTAATTATGGAATCCCATAAATAGATAGCAACAATATCATAATGCCAACAAATAATTATTTAGTTAGTTTCCACTGCTCTGTGAAGACATTAAGTCAAGGCTTCTAGGTACAAGCTAGCTCTAGAAAGTAGAACTGCATAGATATTTCAAATATTGCACCTCTATAGACTTTATATTCTCCTCCATTGATTGGTAGAATGGTGGGGGCAGAACAAATCCTTGCAAATATCCTAAAGGGAAAAGTGGGTCACGTAAAGTGGAAAGTTGGTCATAGCTATGTTTTTTTTTCCTTTTTACAGATGTTACCAACTCCTCCAAAAAAACCTTCCCAAGGGACCAAACAATAAGTGTGTCTGTAGATGTGTGGGAAGGCTGCTCTGACATGCCATAATTACAGCATGTCTGAGCTGACTTGATTAATCGAATCTGCGGGAGTGTGCTAACTAGTGCACCTCCAGCAGCTTCTGCACCTCATGTATCATCTTTCCCACACTTCAAAATGTCAGCAGGGGTGCTTAAACTACAGCTTGCTCAATGACCTTTAGTTAAAGTACTCCTGCCACCATTTTGAAATGTGGGGACACTGATACTTGAGACACTGTGGGTGCTTTAATTAGAGTGGCTCTTGGAGCTGCTCTAATTAAAGCACTGCCCCCACCTTTGGACCACGTGTAAAAACACCCTAAGTTCCTACTTACATGGACAATTGACCAGGGGGTTAATTAATGTTGCATTAGAGCAACACTGCATTTCACTTACACAACTAGTTAAGCCTCCTGGCATAACTGCTATTCTCTCAATTTTCAACAAAAGATCCAGTCCTAATCATTAGCCCATCATAGAGACTGAAGGACAGTGGCTGCCTATACAAGTGCTCAGGGGTGGGGGGGAGGGGGGGAGGGGAGTTGGAGCTTTTTAATTAGAGCAGTTCCTGGGCAGCCGCTCTAATTAAAATGCTTCACTGTCACATGTATTAAGCTCCATGCATTTTAAAATGGCTGTAGTATGCTTTATCTACACCTCATTAAATGAAGTTTAGTTAAAGCGCTCCACAGCCATTTTAAAATGCACGGGGGCTTAACAGACATGATGCTGCAGCAACGCTACAGAGCTGTAATTAGAATGCTAATGAGTAAATATATGGGCAGCCAGTAGTGTGACCAGCTAGTGCCTGCTTCCAAAGGCAATGACTTGTGTTTTATTAAGGGAAGAAGCACTCCCTTCCTCCTTCAAATAAGTAATATTTCAACCACTGCTGAAGAACTCTACTCTTGATACATTAGATCTAACCAACTACAGTACTCAGTATCAATATCAAGTCTCTCTCACTTGCATTGGTGCACAAGGATCTGTTCTCTTTCTAATCCTATTCAACAGTTGCACATAGCTATTTAGGTTAAGTTGTATGATGACATGACCATAAGTTCCATTATTATATACATGACACAGATCTCTACCAATCTGTTACCACATATGACCCTTCTATGCCAACAGGATGAACTTGTGAGATCAGCTTATAGCTAGAAACCATTGGAGGTTTGGAACTCAACATGAACAAAATGTGATTTGTGCTTATAGGAGCAGAAACCGTTTTAGGAGTTTGCAGCCACAACAGTTTTCCTTTGTTTAAAGCTACTCACACAATATCACTGATTGAATCTGTAGTTTAGAAGTGCTCCTAGATAATGCTAACCCCTTGCACACATCAAACACTATTTTATACTCCAGCTAAGTAGCTTTATCTTTTCTTTATTTATATAAACCTTCATTTGTTACCAACCTATATTGCAGCTGCAGCATACCTGGACAAAAAGCCATCTACTTTTAGGAAACACTTTCTGAGCAACTATGAACATATCAGATCTGTCCTCTGTTCTACACTATCTTCTCACAGAATATCAAATGAAGTTCGGAGTTTCGGTGCTCGGTAGCCTGGGTCTAGCAAATCATAAATACAACCAAGAGCTCTAGGACAGAGACTGTGATTAACAATTCCACACTTCTGGCACAACAAAACTTTCTACCATAAGGTAAATCTTGCTTGTATTTCTCAGAGACAACTTTCTCAAGGACTGGTATACACTATTCTCCTCCAAAGTAGAGGATAGATAAAATAAACCACATAGGATGGGGACACTAATGGAAGGGATATAAAGAAAGAGTGTCACAGAGTGCCCCACAGTGGGGACTTGCTTAGGACAAAGCCATTCAAGATCAGTGATGCTAAAGGTCTATCTTGTCTCTCCTGCACATACCCAGCCCTAGCACTTAACTCTTCAGTATCTATGCAAAGGCAACATAACATGACACGACATGACATGACAACAACCTAAGCATAGTTCACATCGAAATATCACAATAAAACCCATAATCCATCACAAGGGGTGTATAAGAAACTACACAGATCATACCTAGACAATCTCTTTTCATGCACTAGCCTCTTGGGTTAGATGGTCTTAGGGGGCCCGGTTGGGGGGGGAGGGGAGGAGAGGGGCATGGAAATCCTAGAGTTCTTTACAATGTTGATCCCTATCTACTAGAAACTCATTTCTTATTGCACTGTTGTTCTCAAAGTGGATTACTAATGCAGACACTATAGCTAGTTTCTATAAATTTTCTATGCATGCCAGTTTTTTCAGGTGATATCAAGCCTCTTTCTATAGACTAAAATGAAATGATACATTTATCTTATAGAGAAACAGAAAACATTTTTGTGTTAAGACATGAAATAAAGTGCTCAGTTCACTATCACAAAAGAGCTTTTGAAGAGATCGGAATTATTTAAATTGTTTCTATAAGGTAACTGTTGACTTTTGGACCGCATTTACCTGTTCTGCACCATGCTCATTGCCATCCAGTCTGAAGGGTAAACATTCTTTCCTATGAGATCTTTAAACATTATAAATGTTTCCATCAAAAAGTCCTAGAACAACAAAATACAAGACATCTGTGATTTTATATCCTGTAGACTTCATATGCCAAACCTGACACACTGCTGTGTGTAAAGCACTATGTGAGGGCACCATCCTACTCACAATGACATCAATGGCAAAGTTCCCAATGACATTGATAGCAGCAAGATTAGAAAGTCCTGTAAAACAGCAGTTGTAGGCTAGAAATTATTGCACACTAAGCTGTCTAATAAAGATAAGCTATAGGTAAATGGGTGAATAAACAAGTAATTGTAAAAACTATACCACATTTACTGAAATACAAGATGAGATTTTCTCCCACATTATACCATATGTAATCAAATATACAATGAGGTTTCTTCCCCAATCAGCATGCAGGGAAAAGCACTTTATCTTATATTTTCATGCAAGAAAACCTCATTTAATACACTGAATACATTGTCTATCATTAAACCAAAAGCATCATGTACTCAGTAATGGAAACCAACTATGAAGCTGATTAAATGCAGCCAACATTAAGTATAACTATAAAATACACAGTCCATACTGGGCAAACATAAGGATAGGAACTTTTTTTTTTTTTTTGCTGGTTAAAAAAACACAGGTAGATGTTCCCTCCACAGGAAACTGAAACCAAGACTAGAGGTACTGCAATACCAGGAAAGCACCAAAAGGGCCAGGGGTAACCCTGATACCTTCCCCTTGGTGCCAAAAATACTTAAATCTTAGCAAAAAGAGCAAGATGCTGATGGGAACATTTAAACATGTTTTAAGGAAAGTTTTTCATTTTTTAAGTCAATTCAGCCAAATCAATTCCAAATCCATGAGTCATTCAAGAACCATATGTGGCCCTACTACCGGCAACCATCTTCCACCCCCACCTAGGGCCTCAAATGCTTCCAAATCATTTGGCAGGCATCCTATCTGCACACCCAGGCTTGGGGTTTGCATGCCCCTGAGTTTCACTTGCCTTCAGCCATATCGTCACAGGAGCAAGCTAGGGAGAAGTTTCCCATTTCCATAAAGTGGGTATAAAGCCAAGATCTTCTCATTAGAAATGAAAATGGGAGGTTAACTATACTTTACCTCCGTGTGTATTACCCCTTGCCAGAAAAGTGGTTATCCCCAGCAACTAGGAAAACCACTTTAGTGGTCATGGTTTTGCCCTGATGACAACATACCACAAGGATAGGTTAGTGCAGGCCATATGAATAAGATGCTAGTGCCCATTGCACACAGTCTCTCTTAGTGTCGACTTTTTTTCAGGTCCTGGTGAGCCACTACATTGCATACATTTTTACTTCCTCTTTACTCCCACAGCTGAGCTGACCCTATCTTTCCCATTTTCAATGATTCCTGTTTCTTCACCAGCCTTAAATATCTGATAAGCATGACCAAACATATGGGGGCCCAGGCATTTCAAAATATCTCTGTCACCCCCTCTCTCAGCCTTTCACATACAATTAGTGTGATCCTACTCATCATGAGGTGGAGCTAGACCAGGCTGCCCAGTGCCTTATCTGCATATACATTTTTGGAGGATCCCAGGACTCATGACAAGAACACCCAGGTACAGTCATAAGTGTGGGGCTAATTAGGATAGAGATCCTTTGTGGGGTTATATGGACTACACACATGCTGAGAAGTGCTGAGCTGTGGGGTCACCATGGCTTGAAATGGTGTTGACCAGTGGGGCCCAGCTTAATGAACTATATGGTAAATCATGAGCCTTCTGACTTTGGGTTAATATCATGAATAGTTTGTACTATAAACTGGCAGGGGAAATACTGTGCCATGGAAATACCATGTCTATGAAGGCAGTTTTCCTGAGCTGTACCATGGGAGAACTGCTCTTTTGGCATGGTTCAGTACCTGCCCAGGTATAGTGGCTTTAGGACCAGTTTATGGAAATGGGAGTTTTCTCCCTTGCTTGCTCTGAGGGTCTTATGGCTAATGGCAAACAAAACTTGGGGGCTTCCAAACCCCAAGCCTCCAGGCTTGGGCCTGCAAGTAGGATGCCTGCCAAACGACTGGGAAACATCTGAAGCCATGGGTGTCAGTGGAGGATGTTTGCTGGTAGTAGGACCACATATGGTTCTGGACTCTTGGATTTGGAATTAGTTTTGGCTAATTTGGCCTCAGATACAAAATAATTTTTTAAAATAAAAAGTTTGTACTGTATAGCCTAGCCTTATGGTGTGTTGAGGGAAATACCGTGACCACTAAGGCAGTTTTCCTAGCTGCTGGGGATAACCGCTTTTCTGGCATGGGGTAGTACCCTTGGAGGTAATGTAAAGTTAACCTCCTACTTTCACTTCCAATGGGAAGATCTTTGCTTTACACCCGCTTTATGGAAATGGTAGACCCCTCTCTAGCTTGCTCCTGCGGCCATATAGCTGAGGGCAAGTGAAACTCGGAGGCATCTGAACCCCCAGCCTCCAGTCTTGGGCATGCACATAGGATGCCTGCCAAATGATTTGGAAGATTCTGAAGCCCCAGGTGGGGGTGGAGGATTTTTTCCAGTAGTAGGGCCACACATGATTCTTGAATGACTCATAGATTTGGAATTGATTTGGCTGATTTGACTTGGAACATGAACATTTTTTCTTAAAAAAAAAAAATGTAGTATTTATAAGTAGGTACAAAAGTTCTGCTTAACTTATAGCAGTTTCCAAATAAATAAAAATATACCAATTCTGGCTAAACTAAACCTATGGGTACCTATAGCAATTCGCTTATACACAAATTTATTTCAAGGTCACTATTTTCACATTTACTTCTCACTTACATGGGGTTAGGGAGAACAGGGTTTGACAGTAATAAGGGGCAGAGAAAGGGGTTACAGGGGAAGAAGTTGGAGGGGGAAGGGCAAGGGGGCTATCTGACTGCCCAAATTTATTTTCTCTGATATAGCTGCGGGAGGGGGACAAATTCAAGGCAAACCTCCAACAATTAGATTCTATACCTAGAAAATTATAACAAATCTATAAAACGATATATATAATCTAATTATTGGGAGGGTGTCTTATATTCAGGGTTATCTTGTATTGGAGTAAATACAATATTAAAAAGCCTTCTGGAGTAAAATTCTGGAAAAAAGTTTTATGGAAAAAGTTTCTGTTTCCAAATGCATGTTTTCAAAAATTGAGAGAAAGCATCTTGAAAATGAATGCTATTGTTTACATTCTATATTGATCTTAATTTAATAAATGTATATAAAATGACTCAGGCCAAAAACTGCATCATAGTTCTCCTCTGAAGGAGATTTACCAACAATATTGAGGAAAATTAGGAAAATTAACATTGATATAATTAATCTCTCATTTTGCACCTGCATACATGCAAATCCATCACTAGGTTTTTTCATCATCTGAAACAGGCAGCTAAAAAATTGTAAGGCAAGCTACACAAGCTGCTATTAACACCCACAAATAGCTTACAAGCAAGACTCAGCAACAGACTGTGTTCTGTGTTAATCATCAAAATGGTTAAGGGTAACCAAATAAACAAGGTCTCTGAGCAGCTTAATATTGAAACAAATCTTTAATACGGAAACAACTTTTTTCCATTGATAAATATGACTTTTAAATAACCGAGAAAAAATAACCATCAACAAATCAATGCACTTAAAAAGCAAAACCACAGATATCATTTTTTACATTTTTGTTTAAATTAAATTCCTCAGGTAAATTGGGGATCACTGCAGAAACTTCAATAAGATTTCTAATATAAGATTGGAGTGTGTACCCAATGCTTGGGAGCTAGAAATGATCCCATGGTACAAGATAATCTACTTAAGTTGTAAGGACTAGCTGCGGTTGGATATTCTATGATTTTGCCATCTGGCAGTACAAGGGATGGGAAACTAGCTAGCTGTGGGCAAACTGAGAATTTTCTCACTTTGGATGGGCTTTCAGTCAGTGATATGTTACTGTTTTGAGCCACTAACCACACTTGGCCCATATGTGTTTCAGGAGGAAGGCAAGCAAGGAAAGACATGTGTTCAGAAGATTTTGCAATAATTTAGAAAATGGTGTTAGCTAGTATACACTGGAGTATTCCCTAACAACTGTAACCTATACAGAGTCCAAACCAGATGTACCATGAGTACCATGAGCTGTTGCCTTTCTGTATAGGATAATCTGGGCTAGTAACTGATTTCTTAATGGAGATGGAGGGGAGACACGGGCTAATAGCATTCATTCAACAAGGTGTTTTCAACATGTGAAATATAACATCGATCCTTTTATCTTACTCTCCATCATCAAACACACTCACTCAATAGGCAGGGGGAAAAGAACAGTAATACTCATACACAAATGACTATCAGTGTATCCTACTTCATTTTTAAAAATAATTTTAAATGCCTGGTAAAGTCAAATGTTCTTCTGTGTTCTTAAACCAATATGAATACTGGAATCCAGCAGAATGGATATTCCAAAACATAACAGAAGAATGTGAGCTCGGGTAGGAACAAGCCACAAACCGCACACTGGAAATGATCAGATAAGTACTAAGGGGTCCACTAAGAATCAGAATACGGTAATACTAAGGGCACCTATCGGGGGCATAGGTGTCTATACTAATGATAGAAGTATGGGAAACGAGCAGGAGGAACTTGCACTCTTGCTTGCAGACAACGACTTCAACCTGGTTGGTCTAACAGAAACCTGGTGGGACCCTGCCCATGACTGGGCAGTGGGCATTGAAGGCTACAGGATATACAGGCAGGGGAGATTGGGGAAAAAGGTGGTGGGCATTGATCTATATGTTAGGGAACATTATACATCCTCTGTAATAAAGATGGGGACAGAGGATGGGCAAATCCAAGTCCTATGGGTCAGATTACAAGGGGGTGGGGGGGGGAAGGGACTTGGTAGTGGGGGACTACCAAAAACCCCCCCGGAAAGAGTTGGACCTAGAATTCTCAAAACAGCTCTCAAAGGCAGCATGTTCAAAAGACCTAGTTGTCATTGGTGACCTAAATTACCCAGACATCTGCTGGGAGGAGCAGTCGACCAGGTTTCCCCATTCATGTAGGTTCTTAACCTGCATGCAGGACCTGCACCTAACACAGGAGGTATGCAGTCCCACTAGGGAAGATGCCTTACTTGACTTGGTGCTGGCCTCAGGGGAGGACTTTGTTAGGGAGCTACAGGTACAAGGTAACCTAGGGGATAGTGACCACCAGTTGATAGGATTCACTATCCGGTGTAAGGTAGGAAAAACAAATAGTAGGGCAGTAGTGCTAGACTTCCAAAAGGCCAGCTTCAGTGAGCTCAGGAGACTGGTTAGGGGGGGACTGAGGGGTAATCACATCTGTGAGATGGGGGTCCAAGAAGTGTGGGAGTTCCTCAAGGGACTGATCGTACAGGCACAGAGGGACACCATCCCAGTACATGCAAATGAAGGCAAAAGAGCCAAACAACCTTCTTGGCTGAGCAAAGAAATCCAGGAGAGCCTTCAGAGGGAAAAAGAGGCCTACAGGTTGTGGAAGCAGGAGGCAGCCACCAAGGAGGTGTATACCTACTTGGCTTGCGCTTGCAGGAAAGCAGTGAGAAAGGCCAAAGCAGATACAGAACTCGAGTTGGCAACAAAGATTAAGGATAACAAGAAGTCCTTCTTTAAGTACATAGGGAGCAGGAAGAAGGCGCAGGGTAATGTAGAGCCACTACAGAATGGACTAGGGCAACTCATAACTGCCAGGATGGAAAAAGCGGAGCTCTTTAATAATTTCTTTGCTTCTGTTTTCCTGGACATGGATACAAACTTACCTCCCAATGAGTCTTTAGTCTAGAGTGAGCATAATACCAATCCACCAACAGTTAGCACTGACCTAGTGAAGGGGCACTTGGAGGGGTTGGACCTATTTAAGTCAGCAGGCCCCGATGATCTTCACCCAAGGGTACTAAAGGAATTGGCCAGTGACATAGCAGAACCACTGGCGCAGCTGCTTGAGTGCTCGTGGCACTTGGGACAGGTCCCAGAGGACTGGAAAAGGGCCAGCGTGGTTCCTATCTTCAAGAAGGGGAGGAAGGAGGACCTGGGTAATTATAAGCCAGTTAGCCTCACCTCTATTCTCGGCAAGACCTTAGAAAAAATCATAAAGCATCACATTTGCAGGGGGCCAGCAGGTAACACAATGGTAAGTGGCAACCAGCATGGGTTTATAGCAGGCAGATGCTGCCTAGCTAACCTGGTCTCTTTTTATGATCAGGTCACAAATTGCTTAGATGCAGGGGAGGAAGTAGATATTATTTACCTGGATTTAAAAAGGCTTTTGACACAGTGGTGCACCCAATTCTTATGACCAAACTGAGTAACAGCGAGGTGGATTTTTTCACAGTAAGGTGGGTGAAAAACTGGCTTATCAGATGCACCCAGAGAGTGGTGGTGCATGGGTTGGTTTCTCCCTGGAGGGATGTGGGCAGTGGTGTCCCTCAGGGTTCTGTCCTTGGACCACTGCTGTTTAATATCTTCATCAGTGATATGGACGAAGGTGTTGAAAGCACCTTGTCCAAATTCGCAGATGACACTAAACTATGGGGCGTAGTAAACACACTGGAGGGCAGGGAGTGAATTCAGACAGATTTGGACAGACTGGGGAAGTAGGCAGATCAGAATAGGATGCAATTCAACAAGGATAAAGGTGCTGCACGTGGGGAGAAAGAATCTCCAACACACCTATAGACTGGGGGGTACCATTCTGAGCACCACAGCAGTGGAAAGAGATCTCAGAGTCCTGGTTGACGCAAAAATGAACATGAGTTGCCAGTGTGACGAGGTGATAAGCAAGGCTAACTGCACTCTGTTTCCCATAGTTCTATCTTTAGTATAGCAGGAGTATCACAAGTAGGTCTAGGGAAGTGATGATTCCCCTCTATGTGGCATTGGTCAGGCTGCAGATGGAGTACTGCATCCAGTTTTGGGTGCTGCATTTCAAGAGGGTTGTGGATAACCTTGAGAGGGTTCAGAGGAGGGCTACTCGTATGGTTGACAGCCTGCAGGATCTGAATCTCTTCAGCCTCCACAAGAGAAGGCTGAGAGGCGATCTTGTGGCTGTCTACAAATTCATGGTGGGGGAGGGGGCAGCAGGGAATAGGGGACACTCTGTTTACCAGGGCACCCCTCGGGGTTACCAGGAATAATGGCCACAAACTGAAGGAGAACAGATTTAGATTGGACATAAAGAAGAAATTCTTTATGGTGAGGGTTGCCAAAATACGGAATGGGCTTCCAAGGTAGGTGGTGCTTTCCCCTACCCTGGAGGTATTCAAGAGGAGATTATACAATTATCTGGCTGGGGTTACTTAACCCCAGTGCTCTTTCCTGCCTGGAGCAGGGGATTGGACCCGATGATCTACCAGGTTCCTTCCGACTCTAGAAATCTATGAAATATGTTGATAGCTATTTGTTGAGTTGCTTTGTACTCACCACCAGTTCTGAACTTGTCTGAAAGGTTTCAATGTAAAAGGAGTAATGCTGGTTGTCCATTTGGCTTAAGATTGCTGTCATACATGCCACAAAATGACTCTAAAACAGAAAGAAATTAACAATAAGGAAATCAACATCCATACAATAGATGATGTAAACAAAATAATTTAACTTTATTCAGGACCTATCTTAGTACTAGTTTAAGATTCCTAAAGTGAGTGTGATATTTCACAGGATTTTGCCATTACAGATTCAAAGATAATAAAAAATGCTATGAAATTCTTTTTAATCATCTTAATTACTTTACCATTGTTACATAATTGTACAGGAAAGAGAAAATGCAAAATAAGGATACTATACTCCTTTAAATTCTTTAGGCTTTTTCAAGTAACTATTATAGAACTTATCAAATTTCTTAAAAATCCTATTGCTTTCATCCTTTTAAAATTCTGCATATTTTTTTCCAGAAAGAAACACCATATTCCTCTGGATCTTAACACAGAAATGAAAGCAGTTTATAGTCTTGTCTTCCTTTTCAGTTTACTGATAGTGAAAAATGCTTATCTGTCAAAGCTTATAATGATGAGCTAAATGACTGGAGCTTTCCTTTAAGGAATACAGTATCTCCTCTTAGTAATACTTTTTATCTTTCTAAAGTTGTGATAATCCTTTCTATAATGAAGCAGCTCAAAATACTATGTGAATTTTGCTAAAGGAAAAATATACAAAGCAAAGGCTTGGATGAAAAATAACTTCTCTCCAATGGATTTACTTAAAACTTTTACTTAAATTGATTTATCAGCAATCCAAGTGACTCCCTGATCTTTTCAACCAGAAGTCAATTTTTAACTTGCCATGGGTTTTAGGAATCAGATTTCTGTTTTACTCCTGACTGATTCTATACTTTGTTACAGTCATGAATTCAAGAAGGTCACATATCATTGAAAAGTATCAGCTTCAGTTTGCCGTACCCAACCATTTTGTCTACCACTTACAGAAAAGGAAACCTTTTTTAACTTCAGGTTATGGCCACTAGAGGTCTTTTACTTTCATATGGTAGCTGCTGTTCAGTTTGTACTGCTTTTTTTTATTTATTCCTACGTGAGCAGACCCAGTGTACTTCTTGCATATAAACAGAGAAAATTACAATATTAAGGACTTATTAAACATTCTTTTGGAGTAATATTAGTGCTAGTCAGAGCCTTGCCTGCTACATAAGGCTAAGAAGATACATTTTCTGCTGGTAATCCCAAAGCTTTCAGGTAAGGATTTTTAATGTTGGTTACTGATGGTCTTCTAAAAGGAAATGCTGATTTTCAATCCTATAGTAGTTTACTTTCACAGGTATTGCTCAAATAAGTCTCTTTGCACTTTTAAATTTACAGCTGGCAGGAATAGTAAGCTATCTATAATGAATGCAGTGTGACACTTTTTGTCTAGTACCTTTATTTTAATTTTGAAAAAAAATGCTAAAACAAGTTAGGGAGTATTACGCAAAAAAAAGCATATCTTGTATTTTCCTCTTTAAAATGCTTTAAAAGATACTACAGAATGATCACCCGCTTATTTTAAATTATCATTTGCTGAGATTAACAATGTCTTTTTACAAGTCTCTGACAGACGTACAATGTTGCCATTTGGTTTAGATGACTTTAAGAATGTTCGTTTGTTTGTTGAAATCAACTTTGGATCTGTGTAGCAGTATCTAGTATTACAGTTCTGCATGAGTACATATTCTTAGTAACTGTGTTTGGAAATTGTGAAATTTAACAGATGACATATTTTGTTTAATAAAAACAGTTCTGCCATCAATAAGTATCATCACAATTTTGCTAGCTAGTTTCTAGGAGCAAACCTGTCATATTTCACAGCAGTGTGACTGACTAATATATGAAATGAAAAGTGACAATTGAGCAAATTTGCTGTCAAGAATCCTACCTCCAACCGTGTCACGTTGAGTCAGGACAATATATTAACTTTATTCTGGTTTGATCTTTAATCATCATGTAACAATCTTGGCTATTATCTACTTGTTCTCTTTCTAATTTAAAACTTCTTCCCTTCCCCTCCTCAAAAGCCAGCAATAAACACAGACTTCTCACATACAACCCCTTATTTCACAACTGACCTGATACTCTCAACATCATTATTCTCACAGCTAGAACTTAATATACTTAAAGATGACATAGTTCTGTCAACGAAATCTGGAATTTCAATATGTATGTATGTATGAATACTATCCTACACTCTTTAAATACTTATAGTACAGGAGGTAAGAAGCATTAACTACCTAAAAATACACTACATGCAAACCATTAATCATTTTTTAAGTTCATGTTGTATATTTACAACCTGGGAATTAGAAATTCAGAGTCGGGCATCTTCTGCAAACATGCTAGTTGCCCAAGAATGAATTATACTAAATTGCTTTTTAAAAGGCATGCAGTATGGAGAAATCAGAATATTTAAATGCCCCCACCCCCCCCCCACAAAAAGAGGGGAAGGAAAGAGAGTACAACTTGACAAGTCATTTAAACTGTACATGGGCTTGTTAAGATGTATCTAATGAATCACAGCAGACAGATGCATGATTGAAACTAGGTCCAACATGCGTAACAATAAGTGTTATCACTGTAAACACTTGATTGATAAGGGAATATTTAAAAGAGTATTAAACAGAATTCTGTTTGAAATAAAGTCATATTATTAAAAGGTCCAATAAATAATGTGCCTACCTGGACAGAAATATCTTAAAACTTGACTGAGAATATAACCAATAAACAAAACATTGTCAATTACCCAGATGGCTGGCAGTTTTTGGAAAAATGAATTACAGCAGGGTTCGGAGTTAGATGAGGGAATATGAGGTATATGCTAGAATATTGTGCTTATTAGCATTAGCAGGAACACAGAGTAAGTAGGATGTCAAATAAAAGTGAGATACAGATGAGCAAACTCACTCTTCCAGCAAATGCTTGAAACTGCTGACCACTGAAAAAGTGATGATAAATCCATCAAACTTTAAATATTTCTAATATTGTGTCTCCTGGAATTAGTATAAATACTGAAAAATCTCAACCAAAAGGAAATGATAATCTCTAAAGTGTAAATAAAATGTATGAGCAGCCATAACCCACGCAGCCAGAAAAACAAATAAAGCTTTGTAAAACTTGATAGGGGCAAAAAGGGAGGTATCTACTTGACCTATCCCTAGTAGTCACTGCAATCAAGCTGTGTGCGCAAAACTAACGGGAACAGCAGCACAATTAAAATATTAGGGCTGCATGAGAAAGGCAACAAACTTCAGCACCTAGCAACCCAAATCCCAGCTACTTTATAATACCAGATGGTGACAGGTTGCCGTAGTAACTTCAAATAATATATGAGAACCACAAGAATAAATAACACACATGCATGTACTAGAGAAAGAAATAGTGTTATTATTAACCTGGTATCAGTTAAGTATTCACCTTGTTATACTGGGAGTAATTTTCATGAACGCTAGAGGAGTGAACAAAGAAGGTATTTGTTCTGAGTGGTCAACTTACCAATATTATAGCACTGTATAATCTATGCCCCAAATCTAAGTATGCGTAAACCACATACACACTAATACAAGAAAACAAAATAAAATTCAACCATTGATGGAAGCTGATCATTCAAAGGCATTGGAAAGCCAAGAGTTAAAAACACGTCTGGTATTTTCTACTTTGCTCAATTATTTCATTACAGCTGTACACAGCAGAATATTTAAAGGTTTAAAGTAAGTATAAACAGTAAACAGTATGCACAGCCCTAACCAGTAGACTAAAATTGCAACAACAGTAGTTTCCATTTTTTACGCTTTGTAGATGTATTATAGAGTTTTCCCCAGAGGCAGCAGCATGTGAGTATAGAGTAAAAATATCACATTATACATAGGTTTTGATTCTTGACTCACTTTCACAGTGTAAATCAGAAGTTCTCTAATTGTAAAAAAACTAATACAAGTATGATCCATAGTTTTCAAGGTTTGAAGATCTGTTTTAGAGATTCTAGGTGCGAAGTGATATGTGAATAAGGTCATCACTATCATTAAAATACACAAAACCCCCATTTTTTGTACAATATGAATGCTACCCAGAATGTGAGAAATCACTAACACATTAGTCATTTCTATTCTGTGATAACACAATAATACAAAAGAGAACAACCTCCTGGACACAGAGTATTCATGAAATTGATGAATAACCTCACCTTCTTAGGGTCATGAGCACAGGAACAAAATGACAAATATTAGAAATGAAAGCTAAGAAGGGTACTATATGATACCATTGCAAATGAGAGTGGTTTGAAGGTTTTTTGGCATGAACAGTAAGGTTTACAGTGCCTTAGAAAAACAATGTCTCCTCAGAAATCTAGCATCTGTACCTATTGATACAGATGGTAACAAAATACTTCTTTACCATATTATGCAAAACACTAAACAGCAGCAGTTTGAGCTGAAAAAGGAATAAGCTGAATTTGAAGTGGTTCATCACATATTCTTGTAGAAGTTCTGTGTCTTCCCAGAGGAATACAATTCACCATAAAGATATGCTGTCATGTGTACTGTACTCTGCTTGGGTGTAAACGCCTAAACCAAAAATATAAACACTGTAATTGGCTGTTATGCAACAAGCTGGTGTGTTCGTCAAATGTGTACACTGTGCTTGAAATTTAGAATCTGATCCATCCCACATACTGTTGTCATGGCTTGTCAATGAATGTTTCTTACTAATCATTATTTTACGGTAAAAAAGACCTGTCATCTGATACAGTAGTTGTGAGATTTTATTTTTTCATTTATGTTTGATGTTTTATAGTTCACTAGGCTCATCTTTCTGCCTTTCATAGATAATTAAATGGAACCCTAAAAATTCTATTTGCACAGTTTTAGTTTCTAATTTAAAAAAATCTATGATTGCTTTATTTTTGTTCCACTATTTTCTTTAAATTGTATGTAATACCTAGTGATTTCTTCTTTTAGTTAAGCATAACAGGACAGCTGTCTAAAAATAGGTTAATTAATAGGAAAACACAGTCATGTGATTTTACAATGGAAATGAAATGAGTGTATAAGCACCCTCTCCAAGATTTAAAAGTACTCTTAAAACGTATACAATTAAATCCTTCTCAGAACTGTTCCCTTTGAAGACTCATGAAGCTAGTGTTACTATGCCATTTTCTCCTAGTTACAGAAGTATTAAGGCATGACACAAGCCTCCTTAAAATTCCTCTTGATGTTTCAGCATATTGTTGGTAAGGTCTAAACTATTATTTGATTCATATTCCCACACACTTTCCACCAAACTCACCTTCATTCCTCCCAATCTATGACTTCTGTGACATGATCAGTGGTGGAATTCTCTTGGACTCAGGGGAACAGACTTCCACCTTCAGCTTCCTCTGTGCAAAAATGAAGTTTATTTTCTAACTAGAGGGACTTTTTACCATCTTTAATTTTCCCTGAGCCTGAGGGAAGGCACGTGTGCCCGAAAGCCTGCAGAAAAAGATACATTTTTTGCAATTTCTTAATTGGTCTAAGAACAGGTATCATCTCTGAACCAAAAGTTCTAGAGTTTTGCATTTCTTCTTGAGCACATAACATTTTCTCAGATATCTAACAAGAATCAGTGTGATGCATCACTTAAGTATATTCACTAGGCCTGATTCTGTCCTGACTCCTAAAAGTAACATCTGTCACTGAAGTCTCAGGATAACATCTCCTTTGGTCCATTTCCTTAGGAGATGCACACCCATGTAGGCACAAACTGCAAATTATGTTATCTACTTTCCAGCAACCTTTCACAATGAGTAATCATTATTTGAAGTTTCACTGCAAGGCTTCCACTTCAGGCAGTTCATATCACAGCAGCAAAAATCAGGTGAGATACTGCTTGGGCCACAACTGGTCACAGTTCAAATCTCTCCATTGGTTTCTTTTCATCTGCTACTTCATATTGATGTTTTCACTTCAACATTTGATGACAATAAGTTCATGCTGGCTTACTGGTCTGCTCCAATTTCTTTCCTCATCACAACCTACTGTGTGCTCCACTACTGTCACTTCCTTCTCCCACACTTAAATTCATCTTCCAGGCTCTCCCACTTCCTGAATGAACTTTAGATCCCAATACACTGGAAAACTTTCTGTTTGACACTTTTTCAAAATCTGAGAAGCAAGGATTTTGTTGGGTGATGTTTTTAATGGACCCACCACCCAGTTGGGACAGACTTAGAC